TGTGTGTGTGTGTGTGTGTGTGTGTGTGTGTGTGTGTGTGTGTGTGTGTGTGTGCGCACATGCATCGAGGCGGAACATAACATAGAGACCGAAATGACATGCCGTCGTGTAAATAAGATAAATAACATACGGCTATTTAGTTTGTTTAATAAAAGGACAAAGTATAGACCTGTTCTACCGGAAAGGTAACTTTAAATGACTTCTGTTGTGATCTGGCGCTATAGAGAAACCCCCCCTAAAATAATGGCAGGGGAAACACTGGAATTGTTTCTATTTTCTATTATTCCTGTGATGCAAAGCTGAATTTTCAGCATCATTACTCCAGTCTTCAGTGTCACATGATCCTTCAGAAATCATTAGCAATCATAGTGCTCAATAATTTTTTTTTTTTTAAGTATTATTTTAGTATTAGTGCTTTAAATATACTATATATGCCATACTACATAGTTTTTATGTTCATATTTTTATTTAAATGTATATTTCTGGTAAAGATTGTCATTTTGCTGTGTTTTTGTCATTTTTATTAGTTTACACAGTTCTTATTCATTTTTATTTCAGTTTTATTTAATTTAGTACTTAAACTAAAAGAATATATATAAGTACTAAAATAAATAATTGTAATATATTCATTTGGTGCTCAAAAACAGTTCTAATGATTATCTATTTTAGTATTGTTGATATTCTACTATAGTTTTTAATAATATTTTTATTTTTTAGTCATTTTGTTGTGTTTAATTTTTATTTCAGTTATTTTAGTAGGTAAGCTTCAAGATAAACTAAAAGAAAATGTGAAAATATGCATTGGCAACTAGCTGAAATGAATTTATTTTAAGTTAACATTCATTTTAAGTAACAGTTTTGTAATGGTTTTATTATTACCCTGAATATTATCAATGCTGAAAACTGTTTTGCTACTGAATATTTTTTGTGGAAACGGATATTTTTTTCAGGATTATTTGATTTGAAATCGAAAATCTTTTGCAATATTATTAAAAAGTCTTTACTGTCATTTTTGACAAACTTTTGAACAATCGCCAAAGTCAGAGTCAAAGTTGGGTTTATTCATTACATTAAAGAAGACAATATGAAGTATTTCCAGAAAGTGTACTTAACAGGAAAAAATAAGAACACTTTCACAAATTGCAATGAATAGACAGTTACAGAGTGCTGATGCACAAACACAGCTCTATATCTATTAAAGATTGAGTACTGGACATGAAAGGGTTCTTTTAAGTTAAATAACCAGGGGGGAAATGCTGTCAGGCATAATGGTGACAGACAGAGAGGTGTTATATAGAAAAATGGAGAGATGGAGTTGGTGCATGTCTGTGTCTAAAGAGATGAGAGCTGAACATGGCCACGGCAGGCCCCAGAGGGACCATTTCTAAATATAATGCAGAAACTCAAGGTACAAGCATTACGTAAATACTGCAGACTTGCTGCTTCAGAACGTGACATACCTTCTCTCCATTAGGATTGCCCAGTACATAACAACCCATGATGTGGATCAGGTTGGGCTCCGGATTTACTTTACTCATAAACCGGCTCAGACGTTTCCAAAACCTGCATGTACACCACAAACACATGAGCGAAATCGCTCAGATAACAGTCACTAAAGGAATATCAAAACAAAACTTTTCTACGGATCTCACTCACTGGCTCATGTCTTCCTCTTTCTCGACCTTGGCAAAAGTGGCCACTTTATTCTTCAGAAGGTACAGGTGCCCCGGGCCACCCTGAAACAGAAAATTACACATTTGAAACCTTACATAACATCAAACTCAAAGAAACAGAAGACCAGTAGTATTGCCCTCTGAACTGAGAGAGACAGACCTGTGAAATCCTGTCCATCTGAACACACAACCATTACGCAACATCAAACTGAGACAGCAGTGAGTACTGTATTATTCCCACAGACACTGCTGATTCACTCTGGTGCACTTACAGTCTCATTTCTTGTCATTTTGTTTGTTTGTTGGCTTTGTTTTTTCTCACCTGACAGAAGATCATCATGCGCCAGATCTTACTGCCCCTCCTGTAGGCTGTCAATCTCTTCTCAATCTCCTCTGCACACAAAACAAACACACTGCTGTAGTCACACTGAGTGCATATACATGCACGATCTTACAGTGAATATACATAAGTTGACAGTCTACAGCCTTTAAAATATTGGGGAAAAGCCAAGGCAAGCAAAACCTTTTGCATATTAGACTAATTTTACTTTGCATATAAGAGTCTATAATCACAGTTCTATCAGCTTATTCAGAATATAACATTTTAGATGTCAAAAATAAGATAACGTAACCACAATTTTCTTGCAATGTTCCTTTTTTTTTTTTAAACTTTATTCCCAATGTTACCCTTTATTATATAATATTATAATAGTTATATATGGGATGATATTATGCATTATTTCTATATATTATTTCAAGCCCTTTGAAAATTACACATTTGAAACCTTACATAACATCAAACTCAAAGAAACAGAAGACCAGTAGTATTGCCCTCTGAACTGAGAGAGACAGACCTGTGAAATCCTGTCCATCTGAACACACAACCATTACGCAACATCAAACTGAGACAGCAGTGAGTACTGTATTATTCCCACAGACACTGCTGATTCACTCTGGTGCACTTACAGTCTCATTTCTTGTAATTTTGTTTGTTTGTTTGTTGGCTTTGTTTTTTCTCACCTGACAGAAGATCATCATGCGCCAGATCTTACTGCCCCTCCTGTAGGCTGTCAATCTCTTCTCAATCTCCTCTGCACACAAAACAAACACACTGCTGTAGTCACACTGAGTGCATATACATGCACGATCTTACAGTGAATATACATAAGTTGACAGTCTACAGCCTTTAAAATATTGGGGAAAAGCCAAGGCAAGCAAAACCTTTTGCATATTAGACTAATTTTACTTTGCATATAAGAGTCTATAATCACAGTTCTATCAGCTTATTCAGAATATAACATTTTAGATGTCAAAAATAAGATAACGTAACCACAATTTTCTTGCAATGTTCCTTTTTTTTTTTTAAACTTTATTCCCAATGTTACCCTTTATTATATAATATTATAATAGTTATATATGGGATGATATTATGCATTATTTCTATATATTATTTCAAGCCCTTTCATAATTTTAGATCAAAATCTAGATTTTGCCTATTATCCTAACCTAACTTTACATGTAAGAGTCTATAATCACGGTTTTAAAGGATTATTTAATATATAACAATATTATTCAATACATAACAGACTTATTCAGGACTGAATTTCCAAATCTCATGTAACCACCATTTTCTTGCATTATTGTTTTATTGATTTGGATGCAAATATATCAAGCCCTTTCAATCCTAAATATAATTTTTTTTTTGTTGTTGTTAATAATGAGCTCATTTTGATGGCTATCATCATTTTGTTGCTTGTTATATGGACAAACAAATGAACAAACAATCAACATTATAATTAGCATAACTGCCCACTGACATTTAAAAGGAAGAAAAACATTTTAATTTATGAATTTCTGATTCTGTTTGACTCCAAAACACATTGAATAAATCTTGATCACCACAGATTTTATAGAGTCACTTTTGTAAAACAGTCACTAGAAAATATAGGCACTTCTCTGATCCAGTGTCATTTATCAGGAATCCAATTGTTTTTGTGTTTCTCATGCTGGCTGGTGCAAAAATCAATACAAAGCCCACCGTCGTTCCACAATGAAATAACCAGGCAAGGGGTAAAATGCTCAAACACACACACAAAAAAGCACACAGCCAGCAAACACACAGCAACAAACAGCACACACACAAAGCTACATACCCAAAATATCATCAAACGTGGCATGCTCATGATCCTGGAGATAAAAATAATGAAAACAATCAATATAAACACACAGATTAGACCAATTCTGAAGGGAAACTGTTCTTTGTATCATGCTTAATGTCTATAATCTCTAATTCACACTCCAGATAACATTACTGGCTTCTGCGTTTCTTTGTGCTGTTGAGGACGTGTTGTCATTTACTATTATGTTTGCTATCAGTTTGGTCATCACTTGTCTGTTTAAACCTCTGGACAGTATTTTGTGATGTGTCCTCTTGTATCACATCCTATAGAGTGCATTTGGTTCTACTGCACAGGACAAAGCAAACATTAGCTTTGTGTTTCAAATATCTTTTCAGTGAAAATTCATTAACTACTCATTTGTTTTATTGTAAATGGTCAAAATGGACATCTGGATGATGTGTAATGTATTCCTATGTGATGTAGAGTGAAGACTGGCTTGACTTACATAGAGAATAGGTATAATAGATGGATCACCCCTTCGAATGATGTTGGGAACATATTCTGCTTTAGGAACTTTAGATGAGATCAGCTAAAGGATACAAAAGTGACAAAAGTTTTAATTAAATGAAATAAATTACAGTAATATTCTGAAAATGACTCAACATTTATTTAAATTATGTAAAAAAAAATAAAATAGAATAAATTAACAGTGTACATTTTATGTAATTAAGTCAAATAAAATTACTTAAGTAACATAAAAATGGTCACCAAGAAATTTAAGTTAATCAAGTAAATTACATTAAAATAAAATATAATACATTACATTAATATTATATTTACAATATAGCTATGTGAAGCAAAATTACTTAAAAATTCAAAAGAAAAAATCTAAACCTGAATTGCGGAAAAAACTGGAAACAAAATATTTTTTAATTTAATTAAATTGCATACCATAATTTTAGGAGGGATGAAATCATCCCCCTCACACGCCAGTCTCTCCATCTCTCTCTCCTCCTCCCAGTCCATGTCTTCACATCCGCCCTCCTCTGGAGTACCGCAGGTCGTCTGCAGATCCCCACCTGTGGCATCACACAACACAGCAGAGAGTTTAATGATGGACACAGAGAAAGCAGAAGGAAGACAAAGAGAAAAAAGGAACAAAGAGACAAGCGAGGAAGGAGAAGAGGAAAGAGTGGATGGAGAAAGAGAAAGGCTCAGACAGAGAGAAAAAGGAACAAAGATAAGACAGATTGACAGTGAATTTGTTTACATGGACTGCAGTAATTGAGCTGTTTTGCTTCCAAGTTAGGAGTCATAAACTGATAACAGGAAAAGTTCACCAAAAAATGTTATTCCAAACCTTTATGCTGTTATATCTTATGTGGAACATGAAGAGATTTTTTTAAGGAAATCCCAGAGAAGGATGGTTAATATTGACCACAACTGTCAAGGTACTGAAAATGTCGAAACAGAACAAAAAGCATTATAAAAGTAGTTAATATGACTTTATGAACATTCAGTGTTGCCTGGAATTCCACAATACGCCCTGTAGTGTTATTACTGTTAACTAAAAACTAATTATTCAATTTATTTCCCAATAAAATAAAACATACATTTTAGGTTAAAAAACCCATAAAAGAAAATTTGAAATGTTGCCTTGGCAAATGAAATAAGTTGGCAAAACTAAGTTTAGAAAAAAAATATTATTAAATACTATAACAGTTTATAAGTATATATAAATAATATTAAAATAACACTTTGTGAATTAATCAAAATTTTAATGAAAAGGATCTGAAAGTTATTTTTGGACAGCTGTGATGAACTTTTCATGTATGGAAAATCTATTTCTTCATTTTCCACTAAAAATAACAGATTGTGGGTTTGGAATGACATGAGGGTGACAAAATGATGACATCTGGAGCATTTTCATTTTTAGGTGAACCATCCTTTTAACGGCTAAAATGGAGCTTTAATTTGCTGAGAATTTCTCTTCACACTTGTTTGACTGCAGTGCGTTTAAATATACAGCAGTACACCTAACTAGAGTTGGACTGTAGTAGTGGTTGTATAAGAGAAAGTAAAGAGGAGAGAAAAACCAGGCAGCTATAGAGATAGAAAACAGACAGAGAAAAGCCAACATACAAATATTACAACTGTAAGTCAAATGTTCACAATCATTCTTAAGGCTCCCTGAAGACACAGGTGGCAAAAACAAACATGATGACAAAAATAAGTCTAAAGACAAACTACACACAGAGTTAACATGCTGACACAGAATTCTACAGTGTGCACACTTACACACACACACACACACACACACACACACACACACACACACATACGTCTCCAGAGTCCAGACGCTCCAGGCAGGACAGATACTCACAGAGAGAGTCATATAGACAGCGCACTCACACACACACACACACACACACACACACACACACACACACACACACACACACACACACATACGTCTCCAGAGTCCAGACGCTCCAGGCAGGACAGATACTCACAGAGAGAGAAAGAGAGGAGCACATATTCGGGACAGAACCACGCTCAGAGGAAGACAGACAAACAGGATCAGCTTCAAGAGCAGAGGAGGAACGTCACTGCCAGACTGTGTATGTGTGGGATATATAAGTGGTCTGCAAGAAGGCTTCCGGTCGTAATGTAATGATTTTATATACACTAATGTTCAAAAGTTTGGGGTCTGTATGATTTTTTGTTTTAAAGAAATAATACTTTTATTCAGCAAGAATGCATGAAATTGATCAAAAGTGTCAGTAAAGACTATTGCATTTGTAACCAAACATTATATTTCACTTTTTTTTTTACTTTCTATTAATAATCCTGAAAAAAGAAAAAAAATCTACAAAAATATTAAGCAGCACAACCGCTTTAGAAATGTATTATAAGAAGAATTTTTTCTGATTTCTGAATTATCATGTGGCACTACAGACTGAAGTAATGATTTTTTGGTTTGCCACCACAGGAATAGAATAGAATAAAATAGAATACATACTTATTTTAAACTGTAATAGTATTTCACAATATTACTGTTTTAACTGAATTTTGATCACATAAATGCAGCCTTGGTGAGCATTAGACATCTTTCAAAAACATTTTAAAAAGCACTGACTATAAACCTTTGAACAGCAGTGTAAATAAGTAATAACTAGTGCTGTCAATCATTTTATGCTGTGATCTTGATATGTTAAGTGTGTCAAAGTGGCATGTATAAGCGTGTGTGTACAGATGGACTCACTGTCTTTTGAGTCGTTTAGGGAGTCTTGTTTGACTGGGGTCGGATCGCTCCAGGATCGGTTGAAACTCTTCGCCCTGCGCTCTGCAAATGCTAGTGAAGTGGAGAGATGGTCACACGCACACACACGCGACGCCCCATGATCCTCACAGACTGTGGGCTGCATCACATACACTCAACCACACCAACAACAACTACACACACATTTCTCATACGCTTCAATGTCCATTTGTTTCTATGCTACACTTGAAAAACAAATAGAACCAAAATGGACAAACACTCGTCCTCTGTCGCTGGTTTATAGGTCACAATGACGCAAAACTGTCAATCATCTTTCATACAAACATGCAAACATACACATGCTAATCTACGGCACGTGCATCACATGTACAAACAAAAACACACAAAACTCACAAATGGAGCTGTGCAATCATTCGTACTGTACACTCACACATAGACTCACTTTGTGCTTTCATTCTTCTGCTGCCCACCATTCTTAAATGCTTCCGGAAATTCCTAGACATTAGTAGAAATGGAGTGAAAGAAAAAAGAGAGTGGAAGGAAAGAAAGGTAAATCAGGTCATCAATATCTGCATGTCTGTGACACTACACCAAAAACCCTTGTCTCTTATCTGCGCTTGGGAACGCAAAGAGATTTCCCTTGGTTATTCAACAGCGCAAACATATTTTGAAGGCCATATGAAACCCATAAACAATTATTTATGGTAGTACATCACTAAATATTTGCACCACGTAGGCCGTCAGAGAGACCAGCAGACGTCCTTGCTTGTGTGCACTCATGTGCAGTATTGAACCAGCAAGTGTGTACTTTCTTTGAGCCATTTGGCTTTTCTCCAGCTGACTGAGAAAGCAGACAGAGAAAAATGCCACTGCAGTAGAGTTAGTCCCACACCTCCAACTACCCTACGCATATCCATGACAACTGTACACTTAATTATAAAAGCTGAAACACTAGTAAGGGGTGGACAAAGGTGACAGCAGAAATAACAGCAAATTAGAAGACAGTGGAGTTCTTAGGTCAGAAACATACTCTACGCAAGTACGCAAATGTTGATGCTATGCTAATACATTACAAGCATGCGGTCCTGTTGTACATACAACGTGTTCTTGTGTTACTGTGGTAAATAGTTACCTTATCTGTGCCATGAAAGAACCTATGAAATCCAGATTTGAGCTTTGAGGCATTTAGTTCATGTGTGTTAGCTTTGAGGCTAGCAATATGCTAGTACAGCGGTGGCGAACTCCGGTCCTGGAGAGCCGCAGCCCTGCAGAGTTCAGCTCCAACCCTAATTAAAACTCAGCTGCCTGTAGCTTTCTAGTAACCCTTCAGACCTTGATTAGATTGTTCATGTGTGTTTGATTAGGGTTGAAGCAAAACTCTGCAGGGCTGCGGCTCTCCAGGACTGACGTTTGCCACCCCTGTGCTAGTATATTACTAAATGTTGGCAAAATGCCAATGGAAATGCTAACAGCTAACTAGCTTTTTTCAGGTATTAATCGTTTTCAGTCACATGACTGGTACTTAGACCTAGTGGGCAAAACATTCATAGCTTTGCAGCACAGAAGGCATTTGTATTTATATACTAGTCTACATTTTGGGCCTTGGTTTAAACCAAAACAACACTCTTGGCAGGACTGCAGTGCTGCACATGGTTAGCGCACTGGGGAAGAATATCCTCATTAGCCAGTGTATTGTATTATGAAAATTTTATTTCAGAATTTGATTGAGTCCGTTTCAGTGCTTTTCTCCAACAAGTGTCCTGTTTTGTGACAATTACACTGTACATCATGACTAATTGGAAGGGAAGTAATGAGACAGGAAGAAACATGGGAGGAAGATAGAAAAAGTGCTTTGTTTACACATGTGACAGAGCTGTGCCCACCTGTGAGAGGAGGGAGATATGGAGAAATCTCCCTTTTCTGTCCGTCTTTTGGCTTATTTACACCCACATGCATTAGAGAGAGAGAGAGAGAGAGAAACCTCCCTTGCCCCCGCAGCTGAGGATGAGTCAGAGGCTTTTTTCTCCATTGTCTCTCTTTTCATTCTCTCACTCTCTCTGTCCCATGTCTGCAATCTCTGTTCCTCTATTAGCTCTTTAATTTCATCACCACCTCTCTCACGCTGTTAAATAATTCTATTCCCTCAATCATGCCCCTTTCCTTTTTTTAAAGGAATATTTAATCAAAAATTAAAATTCTGTCATATTTTCTTCATCCTCATGTTGAAGACAATATTTTACTATTTAAAGAAATAGTAAGATTTAGTATAAAATAAATAAATATTTATTAATTTATAATACATTTCTTATTTATTATGTTATTTTTATCCTGGGTGCTCTTCTGCTTGAAGAAACTGAAAGTGAATGGGGGCTGGAATGATCACACTCCAAAAAAAATGACAAAAAGCACCAAAACGTGCCATATAAAGTGGATCTTTGGTATGTTTTAAAACAACTGAAATCAACAAAAGTCAGCAAAATGCCTGAATTAAGCCACGCGGATACGTTTTCTATGTTGTCTGTGCTTTGATCTGAACAAAAACAACAGGTATGTCCCAAATCACGTACTCATGCACTATTCTATGACATTTTGTAGTATAAAGAGTGCGAGTAGTGCATTTACACTGAAAATTCCCTCAAAAAAGTGCACTTTAAATACCCGAATGATGCACTTAAATAACCAAAAAAACAAAGTGTGGAATGTTGGACACTTCATGCACTCAACTGTCGCAGCTTTAACTACGTACAGAAGGGGGAGGGGCAATCAGACTCCGCTTATGAATGACAGAATAACCTTATATAATTCATACTCTTCATGGTTGAGTACATAGTGCATAAGTACATAGTGTATAAGTGCATAGTGTAGTGCATCATTTGGGACGCAGCTGACACAGAACAGCATACGCGGTTTACATTCAGTGGATACAAAATGAGACAACGAATTGTTGAATAAAGTCGTTTTTGTTTTGTTTTTCTTTTGCACACAAAAAGCTTCGTAAAATTACAGTTGAACCACTGATGTCACATTGATTATTTTACCGATGTCCTTGCTACGTTTGTGGACCTTGATCGTGTTAAAATGAGACAACGAATTGTTGAATAAAGTCGTTTTTGTTTTGTTTTTCTTTTGCACACAAAAAGTATTCTCGTAGCTTCGTAAAATTACGGTTGAACCACTGATGTCACATTGATTATTTTACCGATGTCCTTGCTACGTTTGTGGACCTTGATCGTGTTAAGATCCTTGCTGTCTATGGCAGGGTCAGGGAGCTCATGGGATGCATCAAAAATATCTTAATTTGTGTTCCGAAGATGAACGGAGGTCTTATGGGTTTGGAACGACATGAGGGCGAGTAATTAATGACAGAATTTTCATTTTTGGGTGAACTAACCCTTTAACAACTACCTTACTAACTATTAATAAGCAGCAAATTAGGAGTTTGAGGCAAAAGTCATAGTTAATGGTTTGTTAATAGCGAGAATTGGACCTTAAAATAAAGTGTGATCAAAGTGTCATATGGGTTTGCAACGACATGGGGACGAGTAAATGATGACCAATTTTTATTTCAAGTGAACTGTCAAACTACTGTATGTTTTACTTCAAGTCACCTCAGCTTTCAGCAATTACTCAGGTGTTTTTCCATACCACATTGTCTTTCCCGTGCAGCAGCTGTGCATTGTGGGAGACATCTGGCTGGATGCTCCAGACTCCTGTCTAATATGACCTCTCCGGCTCCCAATTGTCCCCACCCACAGCAGCAACTCTGATTACGTAATTGCCAGCTTGCCTTTTCTTCCTCTCATTCAGATTCTCACTCTCCTCCTTTCATCTCTCTCGCTTTCATTATATCTCTGTCCTTCCCATTCTCGTCCTGAATGTATGATTGCAGTGTATCATTTGTCTCACAAGGTTGACTTTCCAGCGACGTATCACACCACCCCTGTCCAACAATACACTCCTGAATCATCTACTGCTACTGTGACCATCTGGTCCTGTTTCAATTAGCCCTGATCCTTAGAGAGAACTCTGAATGAAATATACTGGCTAAAAACCAAAAGCTAAGCAAAAAACAACATTATTGATTATATGAAGAATATTCGAAAAGATCAGATCAATATGCTTATATCCAAACTATCATACAGTGTACGCTACCCCTTTTCTTTTTTTCCTGTTCTGGTGAGTAAATCAGAGGCTTAGAAATGATCAAATGTATGTGAGGATGGGATTATAAATCTTATCAGCATTGACTCATGAATATTAATTAGGTGATGTAATGCTCATCCAGTAGTCAAAACCGATTTTTTGAAAAGCAGGACACTTGCCAAATTATGATTACCACAGACTGATTCACTCAACTGCTGATATAACTAGTTGGGAGAAGCTGCACTATGGTGTCGTTCAAAATGTAAAGCAAAATTACTACAAAAACTACATTTTTTATTATTATTTCATATAACTCAAACATCAATTATCACTCCCAAATTTTATTTTTTGAAATGTATTTGCATTTTAACATGCATATTTTACTAGCTAAATTAGTATTACCGCTATAATACAATATGACCAGCTAGCAAAGGCTGCACTATGGTGTAATTTAAAAAGCATCTTATTTATTTATATGCATTTTAATGTTTATTACTCTGAACATCGCTGACATTATTTAGCATTGGGAATGTCTAGAATTTCTCTTGCACTCCTGTTGTGTTGACATAGGTTGGATTATTTTTCCTCTTTAAAAAAAATCCTATTTCTGAGGTTGCAAACAATTGCAATTTTCCTCTCAACTTGCATAGTTCAGTCACACCTTGATTACACAACAGTAAGAAAGTTGGTTTGAGGCTGTGCAAAAAGCAAAAACCAATTTCAAGGTGTGTTGTAACCATGGAGGTAGGGCATTGAATCTGACTCTTTAATCTCAGCCCAACCACACAGCAAATTGGGGGCTAAACTGCTTAGGGTGGTTCATATCTAAGAATAATGAACGCGCCAAGTCCTCAGACAAAATATCTATATTGATATGGATACATATCTCAGCTTTAGATAGAACGACAGGTATAGAGGTAACAATAGATAGATAGATAGATAGGGCTGTACTGCTAAAGCTCTTCCTCTATATTTTACAGGAATAAAAGCAGCGATAAATGACAGGCCTGCAACAAAGTACCTCTGGATGATGGCAGCTGACTCCACCTTGTTTTTTCTCCTCTTTCTCTCTGCTAGACTCCGGAAAACCCTGGCAGGAGGTGACACAACTTTAATGCCAGCGAGGGTGAGGGCTCACCGAAGTGTGGTTAGAGGTTAGAGCCATGCTCATGAAGGGGCAATGTTAGGCTGGGGTTAGGCAGGAGGAGCTTCTTCTGGGTAAATAAAGGTTCAGCCAACGAGCAGAGCCTCGGATTGGATCGAATGAACGGCACTTATGCCACCACACACTGGTCATATCTTGACCTTCCTGATAGCATAACCAACAGTGTCACCTACAGATTGATATTTTTTACACACCCAGAGACTCGATTTCTCCTTACAAATAAATAAAAGTAGTAAATAAAAAAAGACACTGCAGATACACACCTGCAATTCAACATGCTCAAAACCATATGAAATTATCTCAAGGGACACTTAACATTTCTAGATAAACAACTCAACTCAAAAAATCGGCATCAGCATCTGTCAGCATTTCTAAACCATCCAAGACAACTACATCTGTGTCTCTGGCTGAGGTAATCAGAATTATTCAGACCAGCCTATCAAATGAGTTTCTAAGCCATTTCTTGAATCAAAATGCTTTGCTGCATTTCGCACCACTAAAGCAACATCATCAGTCTTTCCCTCAGGTTTTCAAACCAAGCGCATTCGGATTCATTTATACATCAAGGTAAAATCATTTTACTTCAGTTTCATCAACTTGACAGCGGTGAAACGGCGTTTTCCTCGGTTCGTACACACAAGCACTGTTTGAATGGGACTAGTTACTCGGAGAAGATCCAAAAAGACAGGTGTGTTCTTCCTCACAATCTCAAATTACGAAGCAATTACGAAAAAAATTACAGAGCAAATTACCTCAGAGATCCTTTGAGAAATCGAATTCCTTCCGGATAGGAATGTTTGTGCTTGTAGTAAATTATTTTTTTCTACTTCACTGCTTCTCATTTGTTTCAGACACCATCAAATATTGTAAATAGGGCTACATTTGTGGGACTGGAGGGATGGCAGGGTAGGCTGTGCTGGGGAAGCTAGGGTTTGACATCACACACTCATTTTGAGACATTTAAAGGGTACAAAAAGGATACTCACGAAATCCTGTAGAGCGGAGAGGTGAGGCAGACAAAATGGAGAGAAAAAGACAGACAGAAAGCTTAGATAACAGCCATGTTTGAAGAAAGTGTGTGGTCAGCGTGTACTTGTCAGCTGAGTCAGTTTGACAGTAAATGTCACTAAATGAATGTGTGTTAGTGGTGAGACTCCTGTTGTTCCATCTGTACTTGAGGTCAATATAGGCGTCTAACTTCAGTGTGTGTGTGTGTGTGTGTGTGAGAGATGAAGTGAGTACTCACGCCTGCATGGTCGTTGTAGCAGTCTGAAAGCTGAACATGTTATCTTTAGGGAACCAACTGTTATCTTCTGGTTAGAAACAGGCATGAGAGACCACATTAGTACAGTTGAAATGATGTATCTGAATATATGAATTGCATAAAACTGAACAAACATATACAGTGGCCCCAAAAAGTACTTAGACACGTTAGCAACACTAAAAAATGCAGGAGTTTCATTGCAATAGACAACACGATATCAAACCAAAACAGCACTCCAATGATGCTAGATTTACTATTCTTAGCAATCTTTGTAATTACTTTTAACTATATAATAATAATACACATATATACATAGGCCTATATACATACATACATACACACACACATACATACATACCAACACACATATTGTATTAACAAATGTATAGCATGAAAAGTGACCTTGTGCAATTTTAATAAAAATAAATGGCACTTGGTTGATCATCTATCATCTAATGACACATCTATATTTTTAAATGAATGTTTGGGTTCAAAACAAGTTAAGCTCAATTGCAAGTATTTGTTTAAAGTCGATTACTACAGAAAATCATGTTGGCTCATCCCTTAATTTTTCCTTTTGTTGTTGTTTTAAAGAAAGCAAAAAACATGGTAAAACGAAGCACATATAATAGAAGTCAATACTGCTAATGAAATGTGAAGCGCCTTTTTTAATCTGTAAAAATGTGCATTATTTGAGAGTCTAGTATTCTAGACAAATGAACTTCTCGTTATTCATCAAAGACGCATCTGGGTATCTGTGGGTTGTTGCCAGTACATCAACAGAGACATGTTGTCAGATGAAGGTATAGCAGATGACTTTGTTTCTATCTGATTTTCAATTGTCAGACCTTGTGAATGCATGCAAACAAGAAAGAGACGTTTATGTCTATCTGCTGATTCTAGACAACTGGAAAACTACCTGGTTCGCGTGATCTCAAAGTCAGGAAATGATTCCATCACACCAGTCTAATGAATAATATTGAAGTGCCATGGCTGTACTGTACGTGTGACTAAACTAAAAGCATTTTATTCCTGTGGCTCAAACAATAGAGAATGGCAACGCCAAGGTCATGGGTTCGATTCCCAATGAATGCTTGAACTAAATAGTCTGACTTGTATCATGGTAACATGTATAATATTGAAGTATCATTGCTGTACAACACTATTGGCTAAAATAAAAGCATTTTTTTATTCCTGTTGCTCAAACAGTAAAGCATGGGTTTGATTCCCAAGGTATGCATGAACTGACACAAATGTATACCTTAAATGCAATAGATATTGGATGCAATTGGGAAAGAAGTGTCTGCCATATGCATTTCAGGGCTCAATTTACTATCAGCAAGTGCCTCACTATAACCACAATTTCTGCTTGTTTTTAAAGAAAAATGCCCAAATGCTGTTGATTGAGCTTTACTTTTGAACCTGAAACATTCCATTAAGTGTAGTCTAAGCATTCAAATACTTTCTGGGGCCACTGTGTGAAGATCCACCAGCAACAACATACACACATGGTCCACTCCACAGAGGGAGAGAGCACAAAAGAGACACACAGGAGAGAGGAGAGAGACACAGGAGAGCGGAAAAAATACAGACCACGGCACATCGAACACATCGACGCCCCTGTTGTTGGCTGAACCCCACCCCTTCCCCTCGGCCAGAGCCTCTCTCTCTCTTTATCTCCTCTGTCGCTCTCCCCCTCTCACCTCGCTCCAGCCCAGTCATGCGGTCCACACTGCACATCCGCTCTAGTGGTGGCCGGCGCTGCTTGCCTGCCTCTCGGGTGCTGCTTTCCAGGTCCAGGGAGCCCTGGCTGCGCGAGGGAGCCCCGGCACAGGCCTCGCATGCCAGGCCGCATTCCTTTCCCTCCCCCCAGCCACGGATGTTGTGCGCGCTGACAGAGCTCTGCAGCGGCTGGGAAAGGTGGTGTTGGTGATGGGGCTCCCCGTGGTGATGGTGTGACGTTCCCGTGCCAGAGATGTGCTGGTGGGGGTTTGATCCACTAGTTCCACTGCTTCCACCTCCGCTGGTGTTGCTGTGATGGTGGTTGCCATGATGGTGGTTGCTGTGATGATGGTTTCCGGATCCACTTCCACTTCCACTTCCATGGTGGCGGTGGTGGTGTTGGGTCGGAGAAGATGAGTTGGAGGACGTAGAGGGCTGACATGCCTCCTGCGTCCCTTTCAAGACCTCGAGCTCCAGGTTCTCCTTGCTTCCCCGGCTGGTTCCCAGCATGCCGCTCTCTCCAGTGATGGTGTAGACCTGAGCAGGCTGCAGGGCACACTCCACACACTTCAGCTGGTCCTCCTCTGCCGAAAAGCTACGCTCTAGGGACAGCCGGCTCTTGGAGGAAGTTGTCGGAGGCGGCGGTTCCACAAGGCCCAGGGCGGGGTTGATCAAGCTGGGATCGGCGCCGACGGCGGAGCCCTGGAGGGTGCAGCTGTGGAAGTTGTTGTTCTGAGTGCACAGGCTGTCTGGGGAGTCAGAGTCGTGGCCAACGAGGGTGTCAGACAGTAAGTGATCTTCAAATCAAACATTAGGACAGATGCCAAGAGAAAGAGAGAGGGACAAGTGAGAAACAGCAAGAGATGCACAGAGAAAAAGACAGATGGGGTAACACACGCTACATTAAGAAGTGGCACAGTTCCTCATGAAACATGAACGCGCCTGGAGTCTGAGAACATCACAGGCTCTGAGTGGACTGGAAAAAGAAGAGCGGAAAGAAAGAGGATTGGAGATAACTGACCTGATCCGTTGTGGTTCTCAGGATGGGTGTGAAGGTACTCTCCGAATGCACGAGCTGCTCTGCAAAAAACACACACATATTTGTCATTGGCAGGCCCACACTGTAAATTCAGTCACGGATGAAGGATAGTGTTAGGCACGACATGCTGTGAAGTCACAAGCAAATGACTTGGTTCTATTAATGCATTGTTCAAAAAGACTCACAAAGCATTACAGGCTTGAATCAGTCTGACAAATTTTTTATCAAATTAGCAGTTAGACTCACTTACTGAACTGCAAATTATCACTATATTCAATGCTGTCAATCTCGAAATTAAGCTTTGAGTACTTTTGAGTGCTTAAAGGCATAGTTTACCCAAAAATGTCAACATTACTCACCAAACCTTTTGAAATACAAAAAAAAAAGGATATTTTGTAGAATGTTGGTAACCAAACAGTTTTGGTGTCCATTGACTTCCAAGTGCACTGAAATATGTATGAGGTGTATCACATGAGAGTGAGTGAATTCTGGCATAATTAAATTTTTTCAGTGAATTATCCCTTTAAGGTTTCGGAAACATCAGTTCAAATCATTACTGGCTGATTGTTTAATGACAATGCATAGCTAAAATATACATTTGCAATAAATATTTTAATAAAAAAAAATAAAAAAACACGTAATAGAAAAGTACTCTCAGCTCCGTTTAGCACATTTCACCATGTGATATCCATTCTGCAGATTTCCACACATTTTCTACTGAAATCAGCTTAGTCATCAGGCTACAAAACCATAGAAGCATCACACAGTGTAATCCAGAACTGCATAATCCAATGACCCTGTCAGCAGCTGATCATATTTAACATTTACTGCAATCCTTTCATTGCTTAAATCCTGTTTTAATGAATTAAGCCCATCATGATGTCTCTTTTATAAGAGAACTTCAGAGCATTCAACGCAAACTTGCATTTTAAAACATGTATGCATCTGCATACATTTAAACATTATATCACTATATTTATCATTTTATTTGGATTTAATTATTATTTTAATTAGGTTTTGTGTGCTAAAGCAATCATAATTTAGTTTTTTTTAATGCCCGTGACCGTGAGAGGCACTCACACTGATACTAATAAGAGTTTATTTGTTGCTGTGCCTATAAGACTTCTATGTAAATATCCTTTTCACATATGACAGCACTTTGTTCCGGCAAATTAAACTCTTTTATGTACCAAAGATCGAGTAAATTAGACTTCTGATGATATGGTCCCCTTTAAACAACCATTTTTCCCCACATATGAACACGAGAAAACCATTCTAGACATAGACTAGAATGGACGATGGTTCCTTGTATGTCCTAATTCCGGATCCAGCTGTCAGTTTCTCTCACTTCTTTTTCAATTTGAGAAATGACAGGCCCAGTGCGGACTACTCTTAGCCTCTTAATGTCACCTGCTAAGCTGACACCAGCCTCGGGTATAAAGGGCTTTCACAGGGATATGAGTAATGCTCTGCATGCGGCAGTTGTCTGCATCGGGAGGTTTGACAGCCGGACTTCTCAAACTTGAGAATGTGGCTCGGCTTCTGCAGTGTGAAGGCTGAAATGAGGGGCAGGCATGTGGAAACACATGTGACTGTGAAAAAGGGGCATGTGGCAGAAAAAAAGGTGGGAAAACAAGAGTGGGGAGAGGAAGGGAGAAAGAGAGAGGAGGAGGAGGAACAGAGGAACACGCGCTGTGTAAATGTAATTGGTTGCTTTGTATTTCAGAGCCACCCACAGATTCAGATGTAGCGTTTTTATCTTTCCAGTCCAATAAGAAGAATGTGGGAGAATGATGGATTTGAAGGGTGAAAAAGGGACAAACAGAGACATGGAGATAAGTAGAAATATGGATGTGAAAATATAAATATATAGTAATTAAATAACTACATATATAATAAAAACTGTGAAATTAAGAAAAATAAACATGATTTTCAGCATTTCTTTTACCATTTTAATCACCTTTTTTCAGTTATACGGTAATAAAAAAAGTGAATGTATAATAATTATAAATAATTTAAAATCATAACAATAATCATAATAAAATATATAATGAAAAATATTTTAAGAAAATAAAAATGTAAAAGGAGAATAGCATGTCATGTCGTGTAAACTACTATAATAATAATAAAAAAAAATTAGTATACCATGTCATTGCATATCATATCACCCACTATATAAAAAATAAGAAATAAAATATAAATAAAGCAAGTATAGCATGTCACACTGAAGGTCATGTCAACTACTATAATAAAAAAATAAATAAAAATAATTAATTATTTTTAAATAATTAAAAAATAAAAATTGTTTAAAATTAGTACATGTCACTGCAGGTCATGTCAACTATAATAAAATAAGAAATAAATAAAATAATTTAAAAAAGAAAAATGTTAAAAATTAGCATAAGGTCACACTGCAGGTTACATCAACTACTATAATAAAATAATTATAAAAAATATAAAAAACCTTGTTTAAAATTAGTATAGCATGGCATGCTGCAGGTCATGTCAACAGCTATAATTAAACAAGAATTTACAAATAATATTTTAAAAAAATGTTTTAAAAGAAAATATCATGTCATGCTGCAGGTCGTGTCAACTACAGTACTATAAAATAAATAAATATGGTTACAAATGAGTATAGCATGTCAACTACCTAGATATAAAAAAGGTACCTTTATTATCTACATGAGTTTCTCTCAAATATAGCCTACAGAAAATGATCTTCATCAGAACATGATTACAGCTTTGATTGGTTTGAATTAAAGGCTCATGAATAACAGTGATGCAAATGATCAGCTGCTCGATAACTTCAAGAGATGCTCAAAACCTCATTCATACCAAAGTAAGCACTAATTTGACACTTAATTCACAGTCGGCTATAAAGAGAGGAGAGAGTGAGAAAATGAACGTCACAATGCTTCCCACAGGAAATATTTGTCACCACTGGCCCATTGTAAACAGCAGGAATCAAAGAGACAGAAAGAGAAACACTAATTAGTTCAGGCCAGAGGGGATATCATCAGTAACAATCGATAACACCGACTGAGAATTATGGGAAATGATTCAGCCAATCAGAACAGACAATAAAGATTTGAATAAATAATTAAGCCAGATAACCAAAGACACTTTGGTGGTTCCCATTTCATACACTCTTAAAAATAAAGATGCTTCACGATGCCATAGAAGAACCTTTTTGTCTAAATGGTTCCATAAAGAACCTTTAACATCTGAAGAACCTTTCTGTTTCACAAAAGGTTCTTTGTGGCGAGGTAAGAAATCGAAAAAGGTAAGAAAGAGATGGTTCTTTAAAGAACCTTTGACTGAACGGTTCTTTGTGGAACCAAAAATGGTTCTTCTATGGCATCGCTTGAAGAACCTTTTGAAGCACCTTTATTTTTAAGAGTGTAAGTGCATATTGATGCCTTGATAATAAACGAACAACAGCTTATTCTGTTCCGCATACGGTGGCTTTGGCACTGTAAATCACCGGGTGAGTCATTGCTTTTCGGGAAGCTGATTCAATCTTGTAGGAGACATGATGGATGGGTCCTTAATACGCTCTGCCTGAACCCGTTTTCGCCACACAGACAAATATTTGCATGCAACAACACATGCTTTCATACCTTTTAATGTATCTAATGAACCTGTTCTGCACAATATATGGCCCACACATAATCACATCCATTCCCCACGCACGGAAAACCCACTCCGATCTCAATATTGCAACCTCCTCCACAGAAGCTGTCACACACCCTGGGATCGTTCCACAGGAATCCCTGGTGGCTCGCAGTCGCCCTGACGTAACGTTCAACAACATGACACTTGTGACAGCACTTTAAATTATTCAGTTTTGCCAAAACAGCTCATGTTGAACCAGATCATTCTCGCTCGCTTCGTAGCAAGCATCCTCTAATGCAACAGGGTTAATTGGAGTTAAAGTCCGAAGAGCCACATACTTGACCTGAAGAACAGGGGAATGCAGTAAGCATGCTGCCTACATAGGAAGCTTACTACTTAGGGAGCATCCTAACTATCATGTAAGTGACAGATTTGGAAGCCTCTACATAAATGACACACAAAATTTTGACTGATTTGATGTTATCATGTTGCTAAGCTAACCGTGTGATGCTTAAATATAAATTAAAAATATTAATTTTTTACATATACTGGGAAAAAGAATACATATTGAATTTGTATAATATATAGTATCATCGATACTATGCAGTAATAAATTAAATCTGAATGTTGGATTATTTTACTGAACTGTAAAATTAAACAAAAACAACATTAACATTACAATTAAAAAAGAATAAATAAAGATACATTTTAAATAAAAGTTAAGGTAAGCATCCATCTGTTCTTGAGCACTACAATTTTACAATCAACTAGATGCCCCAAGAGAATTATCATATTAATGAAATATCAGAAAAAATACAGGATAATATAATACATTTTTAATTGCACAAATTATACATTTTGAATTACACACTTGCACCGGTTATTACATTTCAGTATTAATGATATTCTGCAGTAGTGAATGAAATTTGAATCTTGGATTTTCCACTGAGCTTTAAAATTAAAGCTCTTTTTTTCAATTAAAATACATTAATAATTTTTAAGAAAAATACAAATAAAAGTTAAATTTAAAATAAACATTTTAAATAAATTCTATCCGCTCTTGTATGCTAAAATTCTACATTGCTTCCTTTTCTCTTAGCTCATTTGATTAACATCAGCTAGACGTCCCAAGCTGAGGGAATTATCATATTAATAAAATATCAGAAGAAATGCAGGAAGATAAGAAGGAAGGAAGGGGGCCGAAAGAGAGGGAGGGCAAGAAAATGGGTAATGGGTAAAGCGAGGAAGAAAAACGAGAAAAAAAGAGGAGCTACTAGGTGAAGATGAGATAATAAAAGGATGAAAAAGATGAAGGTGAGCAATAGGAGGAAAAACTATGTAAATGTGTGGGTTTTGACGCTGGAGTGTAGGAATGCATCGTGTGATTCCAAAAGGTCAGAGAAACAAGGTAGATGAAAAAAAT